GTGCTAAACGTGTTTTTCATAGTAGAGCTGTGTAACTAATGAAGAAACCAGATTATGATCTACCAGGCAAAATTCTTCATCAAGATTCCTCCCTTTTCCTCCCTTCTTTGCTTAGACTGAAGACATTGAAGATATGATTCCTAAAGGACTGTCTGAAGTTACAAAGCAGCAGATTCGTTATCTGCTCCAGGTATGAGTGGGGTGGAGGGGTGTGTGAAAGCCTGTGGTAACTTGAAACAGTGGAAGTTGGCTTGCACATAGCAGGGACTCGTGCTTGTAACTTGGGTCTCGCCCTTTACAAATGTTCTGTTAAAAACCTGCAGCACAGCACTGGTCTCTGAAGCACACTTACGACATTTGCTAACAAAACAGAGTCATTTCGGTTTTGCTTGTGCTTAAGAAAATGCAGCTAAAATGTCTTTGGGAAGCAGATTTAGTCAGCATACACATGAAGTGTGCTCTCAGACTACCAATGCCCCAGCCTATCGTACAGTTACGTGTGGTACCTTTTCACATCCAAGGCTCCTGAGCTCACTTTCAAACTGCTCAGATAAAGGCTGTGCTGGGTATGCCCAGGGCTTAGCTCTTCAGACTGATGATGCCTCTGGAGTTCAGCAACCTTTTGCACCAAGTGATTGCTGAGTGGCAAATTACTTACATATTTATAGTCTAAATTCAACCATTTTGACTTAATTCCTCCTTTTAATCAACTCTCATATTTCACAATAAAACCAACAAAACCATGAAGTGAAAACTTCAATTCTGTTTTAATTAAAAACGAAACAAACAGGTGAGCTCCACTAGAAACGATGTTACTTTTGAAGCCTCAGTAACATAATAGCACCAACGGGGATAAAACGCAGATTGATGGCAATGACAGCTTTCTTCAGTTTGAATGATCAAGAAATAAAGTTAAGGGAAAGCAGGAGGAGAAGCAGACAGGAGGATCTCACTACATGAAAGAGAAAAAAGACAAGTGTCAGGCTGCTGTACATTGCTGCCTTTCTTTTTCATCCAGTTGACTCCTTTAATCTTCAGAATCTTTGTCCTTCTGAAGGGAGGAGTTGGTTGCATGGCTTTCTTTTTAAATTTAAATTTTTAGAAATTGTAATTAAATTCTCTTGCCTTTGGGCTGAAAGCGTGCTTTGCCAGATCTGAGATGGTGACTCATTCCTCTGTGGCTGCCGAGGTAGGGTAGTTCCTTCGTTAAATCTGGGCACTCAAAAGATGATCGTGCATTTATTTTTCCCTTTATTGGTGTACAGATGCAGCTCTTTACTGTCTTGTCCCTTCCGTTTTAAAAAAACTTAACCGTGTTACAAGGCAATAATTTAAAAACTCTGCCATTTGCAGAACAAAGTGCACGAAAATGTGTTTCTCTGTAGGAACTGTGGGCACTTCAAAGAATGACACGCAGTTGTTCTACCAGTAAAAGTTACTTCCAGCTGTACAGCAGTTCTGTTCTCCGTATTATCAAGGATGTTGTAAACGAAGCACATTAATTGATCAGAAGTACACATTTTCATGTTTTTCCCTCCTAGATGAGAACGACATCAGATAAATCCTTGAGGCTTGTGCTTTCCACGTTCAAAAATTTACGTGAAGAACTTTGCCATCTGCAGGATGACTTGGGGGTAAGCCACGCTGGCCCGTTCCCATGGCCTCGCCCATTTGGTTTTACCTGTCAGCTGGAAGTCCGTTACAGTTACATTCAAACTGTGAAGGCCAGGTGCTTTATGGGAAGGGCTGGTTTATTAGCGGACTTTAAGACTCATAGAGTGGATGAGGTTGGATTTCTTTCTAGCAGTGGTTTTCAAGTGTTCAATTTGTCAAAGCCCAAAAACCCAAGTCCTTTCAAAGGAAGAAAAGACTGTGCCGAGTGACATTAGATGTATAGCTCTGAATTGGTGTATACAATACATATGAGTACATATATTGGAGTAGATGTATGCAACTGTGCTTTTACTTTCAACAAGGACAAGACACACACACCGAGTGCCTGTTCACCAGTGCTGTTTCCAAACTGGGAGGCCTCCATTCCACTCGCTCCTGCCAAAGTTGTTTCCTGCTTCACAGGAGAGCTGTTGTCAACTGCTGGCCTTAGCTGCAGTGCTTCTCCAGGGCACAGGGGGCCCTGGCTGACAGCTGGAGCTCTACAGCTGCTGGCACAGACAGCAGATCATGGTGGCTGGGAAAGCGGAAATGTTTCTTGCAGCAGCCAAAGTACTTGGCATCGCTGGAAACTGTGCAGCGTTCACCTGTGAAATGCAGCATTTCGGGAGGGAAGAGGGAGTTTTAACTGGCATCTGTCAAGGGCCCTTAGTTTTTGGGGGTTTAAGCACAAATAGTTCTTTCTGGGACAGACTGAAAGAGTCCAGGATCCTAGTGCTTGCTCCACAACACAGAGCCACAGACACCACAGTGATGGGCAACTCTGAGCTATGTAGTTAAAAACCTGTTAATTTTCTCAGTGCTAAAACATCACTAATTATTATGTTGCATTCTGAATATGACTGTAAACACTTTTGTCTTACAGAAGTTAGAAACCGACAATGTCTTACTGAAGAAGGATCTGGCTTTTAAAGATTCTCAAGTAAAAGAGTATGAAACTCTGTTGGCTTCTCTGAGAGAGAGTAACCGTCAGCAGCAGGTAAATTTACAACCCTCTTTTGAGTGCAATTACAGTCAGCCAAAAACTAGCTGTCTAACACTGCCTTTTTAAGTATTCTGAGTACTTTGCTGCCTGGTACACATTTGTGTGTGTGTGTGTAACTCTGCCACTTCCTCAAGAAACGCCACACATTCATGCCACTTCTGTGCTTTCCAGCAAGGACTCGGAGAGAGTGCTGCAAAGTGCCGCTCTCTGGAAGAGCAGCTCCTCTCTCTTCGGCTCAGCGAGGGAGAAAAGGAATGTCAGCTGAAGGAGCTGGAGTACTGCAAGCGTGCCTTGGAGCAGGAGATCCAGAATCTTCGACTACAGGTGACAGGCTCACTTGTTCTGTGTTCAGTACAGATAAAGATGCAATGATGTATGAAAATTAATGATGGAAACTATGTTTAAAATAAAAAATTACTTTGTTTTCTGTAGACCTGCTCTAATCCAACACTCCAGACCACCACCGATGAACTCTCCAGCCGTTATGTAGAGATGATCAATAACTTGAGAGAGGATAAAGATCGCGAGATCCGCACTCTTAGGGTACGTTGATTAACTTGGCGTGGGTCTATTCCTCATCCTGTACGACTGCAGGTGAACAGCTCATTTTTTAATTAAGGAAAGGAAACATCTGCCATATGTACTTTTTAGATATCTTTTGGTTCTGCAGTTACTTTATATGTAGAAAATAATGATGGCTCAGAAACCCTTATGGTTGAACATAAAACTGTGATAGGAAAAAAATGCAATTCCTTAACTGTGGAAACGAGGGATTAATCAGATTAGCAGCCTTTCCTAAAGGGATATTTTGTGTGTCCTGATAAAGAAACAAGCCAAAGGACACCCAGCAAAGGTAAGTCTCAGTCAAAACTACGTGCAGGAAATGCCTCTTATTTAAAGCTCCGTAGAAGTATTTTACCACTGTGGAAGTAAGTTCAATTTTTTCAGTGATGGTAGAAGCTTTATCGAGTTATAAACCTGTTAAATTAGACTGAATCCTATCAATATAAATTAGCACTTTCTGAATTTACTGTGCAGCTCAACATTGTTACTTGAAAATCATCACGTTTTGTGTATGTCCATGTCTGTATGTGTGTCCATCGCAGTTTTAAAACTACGCTAATTCAGGTCTTTAGTGTTCGTAATTTAATGAAAAAAAAACCACACACGGAGTCCTAGATCCACACTGCACCGTTACCTCACTGTTCCTTCATGTGTGTTTTGTAGTCTCAGTTATGCCAATTCCAGCAAGATATATCAAGGAGAGAAGTAAGTAACAGCGACTTGCAAATGAGGTTGCAGGAACTAACATCCATGTTGGAGGAGAAAGATGCTTTTATTAAACAACAGCAAGAGGTAAAATATTACAACTTACTTATCTTCTATGAATTTTTAGATTTAAGCTTCCACTTACTGTGTAGGTGGAAGCTTTGTACAAAGTCCCTTGTAGTTTCCTGGCTCAGCAATTGGGGTTAGGACTTTTTTTGTTTTAATGCGTGCAGTTCCTCTGCCAGACTTCTGGAAGGACAGACCTTTCAGACTGCTGCTCAGGAGGATTTTCTGAAAATATTTTGTTGTAACTTTAGTGAACTAATACTCCAGAAAACACAACTTCATTTTAATGTTTACTTTTGGGTTTTTCCCAGGACCTCTTCAGATTGAAGAATGAGAATTTATCAGGCAGTCAGTCCCCCGGTGTAACAACTGTCATCACCAAGAAGTAATGTACTTATTCACCTCTCCTAAAAATGCATCCTTTGGCTTTTCCACTCCACAGCCACTATTAACCAAGTTATTGTTGCAAATGTCTTAATACTGCCTGGTCAACTTAGAGGGGAAAAAGTCAAGATAGGTTTTCCTAGCCAGGGAGGATCCATTACTAAGCATTGCAGTAGCACTTGGAGGAGTGGCCAGCATGTTAAAGTGCTATTTAAGTGACTGCATCAGCTTTTTACTCACTAGTGACAATCTCGGGGGATTACTGGAAGGACTGTGTAGCCAGATCGGAGTTCGTGATCCAGATACAGGTTGCAGGCTTCTGTTTACAGGTTTGCAACTCTCTTCAACACAGGTACAGGAATCAGTATCCTATTCTGGGTCTCTTGTCTGACGACTACAAGGTTACATCACCTGTGAATAAATCACAAACCATTGTAATTGAGAGGACTGGAGAGATATGGAGACACGTAAGTTTACCTACACATTCCCTCTAATACCTAAGTACTTGATTTAACTTCAAAGGAAGTTATTTGCCAAAATGGACATCCAAGAGAGAGCCGCAGTGTTAATTTAACCTGGCTGCAAAAAGCAAAGTGACAGATTAAAGTCAAGGAACTGTACTGTCTGTTGCAAGGAGGGGACAAGTGCAGGGTGGAGCATAAATGAAATAACTTTTTGTTGTTTTCTCTGACACATAATTACCTTTAAGAAAAGAAGTGGTGCTGCTCAAACAGTCTCTGCTCTCACACACAGGGCAGGCTTCTGCCTGAACCAGGGAGTTCATTACAGAGGAACTTGTTCTGTGTTGTCCTCTCAGATGAAGGAGCTCTGGGTGGGCTGTATTCCTCCGAGTCACGGTTATCAGTGGCTCCAGACTACTACTGAAACATAGGAAGCACCATGACCCTGAAGCTTACCCTGAGACAGGGCAGTGATTAACCCAGGAAATGCAGAAGAGTGGTGACTTTTTAAGGAGTGTTAGAGATAAGGAGGAAGTTCTTTACTGAGAGGGTTGTCAGAGGCTGGAACAGGCTGCCCAGGGAGGTGGTGGAGTCACCATCCCTGGATGTATTTAAAGAGCGGGTAGACGAGGTACTTAGGGATATGGTTTAGTGGGTAGACAGGAACAGTTGGACATGATGATCTCAGAGGTCTTTTCCAACCGAGCGATTCTGTGTGTTTTGAAGTAAAAACAGAAAATAGGACTGCAGAAGCTGGCAGTGTTACAGGGCATGAGGTAATGCTGCTGAGCCTGAATACAAGGTAAAGGCTTGAGAAAGATACCTGTGGCCAGGCCACAACCCTGCGTTCTGAACAGCGGAGTCTGATGATGCTGGCTGCAGAGTACAGCAGAGCTGCACACATAAACGGGTTCAGAGAGTGGCTTTGTGGGGGACGTGACCAAGAAAGAGACAGTATTAAGTGAGCAGCCTGGGTAGACAAAGGGTGAAACATGTGGCATGTTCTAGAAGGATGTGTTACCTAGAGTAGCATTAAGAAAATAACATGTAGGTCACTGACAGACAGCAGAGTTCTGTTACTGATCTCTAAACCTCATCCAGTTGCATTGCAGCCTAGTGGAATGTCAGGGAATTTAACAGTAATAAAGAATAAAGCCTGTGATAAAGCCAAAAGCCCTCTCTCCCCTAGCTTACTTGAAAAGTTAGCCAGTCATGCTTTCCATTATAAAAAATGGAAAAGACAAATGTACTCTGCATTTGAAAAAAATCAGTGTCATTAAATACATCAGTTTTCCAAGGTCCCTACCAACCACTCGTGCACATTTCAGATGAAGCAAAATTACTTTGCTGCTAGACAAACTTGGTAAGCTTGAGAAGTGCCAGTTTCAGCTTTCACTCCAGGCTTCACAAGTACTTTTTCTGTGTTCAGGTACTGCCAGCCACATCTCTGTATCTGCAGTCACTACTGAACAGCAGTGCTGATGGCTGGCTGAGCAGTGTGAGCAGTGTGGGTTTGTGTGCAGGAGAGGCAGCCTGGACGTGACACTGTCTTTCAGTGCTTGATCTGCTCATGGCAGGGCCTTGGACTAAAAGAGCTTTAAAGGGCACTTCCACCTCAAACTGATTAGTTATCATGCTCAGGCCTTTAAGGTACTCCTGTGAAAGTACTTAAATGTTCTTTTTTAACATTGATCCTAGTTATATGAGGGAGAGCTTTGAGGGCAGAAATTATGAGATGCCTACTACTTAGGTACCTGATAACTTCCTGTTCTTGATTGTTTTCCTAAACACAGAAAAAGGAACTGTCCTTCTGCTTGTGTTTACTGGAGACAGTGAACTGTGCCAGTTCTGACATCTGGCCCTTGCTGAACAAAAACCATTTACAGCTTAATGATACAGTCACTATCTGTGAGCTGTGAGTGCTGACATGCTGCATGTTTGTTAAGGAGGGACAGCTCCCTGGCCACTTGAGACACTTTTAAAAGTCAAGCTTGCTAGAAAAATAAATATGTACTGAGACTTGCTTTACCTGCCAGGCAGTTTAGTCTTGTATACAGAAGTAAGTTTGTGTGTTTTCTTCTAACACACTCATTTCTTTCAGGAATGAGAGAAATCCCCAAGCCATCAGAGCTGCTCAAAGGAGTTCACGATGACTAAAACTGCTTTACTTTCTGCTATTTTGCATCAGAATAAGGTTCAGTCTGACAGTGAGAGAGGCTGGGGAACATACTAAAGACATGGAAGCAGGAAGACGATGGAAAACAGTCTCATCCCCATCATAAAGAACTCTGTTACCTGTGTCCATAATCTGCCACTAACAGCTGTGTACAAATGTCATTTGTACTTCTCTGTGCACTCACTTTTCGCTCAGAAGCGAGTGGTATGCCATGCTCTTGGGGACTTCAGGTTTTCTTGACTTGACTAACTTCTCTTCTACCAGTCCTGGAGCAACCTAGAAGACAAAATTAAGAACTCAGAAACCTTCTCCTCTTTGTGCTGTTAGCTATGTTTTCCTATCTGCTCATCCTGAGCAGTGAGAATGACTTAAAATAGAAGTCCATCCACACTGATTGGCAGGTTTCAGTACAGGCAGATCACAGACAGCCGTTTTGCCCACCACTGCCGATTGAAGATGAAGCAAAACCCAGAAACAACCTTCATAGGGAATTTTAAAAATACCTCACTGTAAAATGCTTACCTTATAGCTGCCTGTGTATAGGAAGCTAAAACACAAGGGAAAAATAACTTCACTTACTCCAGCTACACAACAGCTCGCTTAACTGGTATTTGCCAATTCAGTAGCGGTCTGGTTCAGTGAAATGATTGGGCAAATGCTGATTTTAAAGAATGTTCTTGACCTCAGAGTTGATGTAGCTTCAGCTGAACCTTCCAAAGCCATCAAACCAGCCATAAGTCTTTATTTTGCTGTGCTTGAAAATGTCAAGAACTTGGTATATTTTTATATAGAAAACCTAGTAGGAAAATAGCTCATAGACTAAATTTTATTATCAGACCAACCTTCCACTTACACCTTTTGCTCCCTGCAGGCCCACACAAAAAATCTCTTCAGAACGATTTGGTGTTAATAATTAAGTAGTTGTCTAAGCAATGCAGTGCATAGAATCACAGGGGAAATTTTAAACTATGCAATTAAAAGGTGCTAGCTCTATCATGAGGTTCTTGCTTTGCTTTATTTCTGCAGGCATATATTTCTATTCACAAATAATATATATCATAGATAATGTTTAATGAAGAAAGAATGCTGTAGGTTATGTTTAACTATGAAATAAACCTAAGTTAACTTTCTGAATCATGTCTGTCTGTACTGGAATCAATAATTATTAGAGTCTAAAATAACTCCTTCATTTCTGTGTAGCAGTCAGATAAAAGGTACGTATACACACACAGTTCACATGCTAATGACACAGAACAGTGTCAAGGTGTATTTGTGCCAATAAATAATTTCAGTACCTCTGTGATCTAATTACCTAAAAATAAAAAAAAAGAGTAAGACCACCACATTTAATGCCATCACGCCGTTATCTGCACTTAACTGTGTAGACAGCCCGACTGAAGGCGACACAAAACAATTTGCTGACTTACTGTGGGCTTTGCCATGGTTTCAGCTGGGCTGGACTGGTTGGAATCCTGACCCAAACAGCTTGGAAGAAGCTATGAACAGCAGAAACACGAGTTAGTAATGGACATATTAATTACACCCTGCACAGGCTGTACCGTGTATTTCCTAACCTTTCCACCCTGTAACCAGTTTCTTCAAGTCTATGGCTGAGGCCAGTAACAGCATCACGCAAGCAGTGAACGCCCTCGAAGGACAGACCCAGGCAGGCTCTGAATGCAGTCTGAGCTGCTGGGTGCGGTGGTTCAGTTTTATGGCAGATGTCACAAGGGGGCAAATGCTCTGTTCTGCACACACCGCTGGCATTACGGTAAACCTGAAACACCTATGCTGGTGTTTCCCTATGCTGGAAGAGATGGGTGACACACGTATTTTTAAAAAGCCCAGTCTGCTCATCAGGAAGGACGGATGTCCTCAAATGAGCTTCTCTAAGGCTTCTTAAAATCATCTAAGGCTTCCATATACCGTAAATGCTACAGAGCTGACTGTAACAACACCACATTTTACTTCGAGGTGACATGAGACAACAGAGTCTTGTCAAATACCTGAATTAGATTAGGAGGTGAAATGTAATGCCCATTTGAGGCTGGTTTTGTTTTCAAACAAAATCTATTTAAAAAGTAGATGCAGTATTTTTTTATTATAATAGTACATGTTACTTGCTGTAGTCTGAGCTACTGCCTCTTTCCTATTGAACTGAAACTGATGTACCCAACACTCTGTCTGCTGGAGTTTACAGAAATACAGGTTTTTCTCAGGTACTCATCTCTGTAAATGCCAGTTACCACCCTAATTCTAGACAGTGCACTTCAGGTAATTTTTCACCTCAGTTTCAAGTAGGTCCACAGAGACTTCTACATTTTTTCAGGAACAAAGTAGAAAAAGCAAAGACAGCACATACTTCATATACTTACAATGATACACATACTGCCCTTACCTGTAGTGTTTCTGAATAAACTCTCAGCGCCTGAGCAGATTTGATAGCATGCAGAGTTTCTTGTTCTTAAACTGAAGAGCAGGAGAAAAGTGTCTTCTGGTTTCTATCACTTTTCTAGTAAGAAAGAAGAGTTTCAGCTGTATAATAAAAGCCAAATAGAGCCCTGGTTCAGAAGTTACTGATGCCTCCAGCATTCTGTCTGAAGAGTCAACACAGGCTTTGAACACTACATCAAGGTAACTCACCTTTACCCGAGAGTACTCTGCTGGTGTTCTTCTGTATTTTCGCTCTCAAATTCATTAACTTTAATTGTGGGCATTTGAAACCTAAAGAAAGAGAAATACAGATGATGATCAAGTCATGAATCACTTAAGTGCTCCTGGCTTTTAGGAGTTCTCAGTCTGTCATTCAAATAAAAAAAACATCGTAAACAAAGCTGCCATTTTAGAGCAACCCTTCTACACATTTGTGAAACTTGCTGCTTGCTCAAGCAAGGCTAGTTGTACATCACAGACAGGAGCAGGCGGAGGAGAAACCCAAACACGCTCGAGAACTGCTGAACTCTCAGCACCGTGCTCCTGGGCAGTGAACAAATGTACAGCACGTGTCAGCTTTCCTGCTCCTGGTACTGTGGAGTGGCATCCTATCACAAATGCTAGGAGAGGTAATTTATCCTGTTAGTCAGCATTGCTGCAGGGACTGATTTGTAATAATTCAACCACCAAGGACTGTTTTCAACAAAACAGCACAGAGCCCTTACTGAAAATGTGGCAAAAGACAGAGAAAACTTCCCTGAGGAAAGATGTAAGCCTGGAAGATGGTCACGTCTACTAAACTGTACCTCTGACAGAACAGAGATCAGGCAACTTCGCAACAACGTTGGGCAACTTCACTCTGCAGGACAAGTAATAAAACACGCTATCACCACCAGCACCACCACCACCTTCTGTCATTCAGTTCAACATTGAAGTCAATGAAGCCTTGCCGGGCTTACAGACACCTCCACAGTAAAGATGCAACAGCCATGACAAATTCTCTTAAATATTTACTGGGGAAGTGCACTGAAAAGAATCTAGGAACTGTGCCTCAAACTGCTGAGGATTCAGGTGAGATTTTCTTCTCACATTTCCGAAGATTTAAAATGCCACTTCCTGGTAAAATCTTGTGCCAGGAACACCAATCAACCACTTTATACAGAATTTCAGTTACTGCCT